GTCCTCATGGAGGGGGGAATCCTGTGCCACTAGAGCAGGGCTCTATCCACTGTGGCCAGATACAAGGAAGCAGAAAAAAGATCCCAGAGTAAGCCGGCTGAGATGCCTGTAGCACATTAGCAGCTCTCTCTGCCATGGAGCAGCCCAGCTTAGAGGCAGGAGTTAAGGGGGTAATTTCAACAAATATGGGGGATCCAAAAAGTTCACAGCCAGAGGCCCAGTGGAATAAATACCAGTCTTAGAATAAGATTAGACTCTGACACTTATGAGCGACACAACTATGACTAAGTCTTTTATAACTTCTTCTTTTTTTTTTTTAATATTTATTTTTTAGTTTTTGGCGGACACAACATCTTTGTTGGTATGTGGTGCTGAGGATCGAACCCGGGCCGCACGCATGCCAGGCGAGCGTGCTACCACTTGAGCCACATCCCCAGCCCCTTTTATAACTTCTTTGAAGCACAGAACTAGGCAATCTACCCTGAGCCAGGCTCCAACCAGGAAGGTAAAGCAAGAAACAGAGCTCACCTGACATTGGCTTTGTCCACTCCCATTCCAAAACTGATGGTTGCAACAATTACAGGGACCTTCTCCTCCATCCACTCATTCTGCACCTGTGTTCTATCAGAAGTCTTCAGCCCTGCAAAGGGGGAGAAGGTGGGGAAGGATAACCCACATTTCCCATGGGTTTACCTTGGGTTTTACATTGCTGGGCACTTTATACCCACCCTGAGTCCATCACTCCCAGCTAGATGACCTGGGGCTTGGCACTTAATCTCACAGAACCTCAGTTAATAGACATAAAGACCTCAGCCCGTGGGTCGACGTGAATGCACAGAGCATTCAATAAATGTTAGATGAGACTCAAAATGTTGTTCATTGGCCTGCAAAGCCTGTGCTTCTTTGACCTGGTTTTTTATATCTGGACTTATAAAAATGCATCCCCTGCTGCTTGGTGGGCACAGGATAAGAAAAAGAATTCAGGAATTACAACTCTTATTTTAGACCTCATTCACACCTGGACTCCTTTTAACGGAATGAAATGAATTTTAGCTCTGCATGGGTCTCTGGAAAAAGATAATGAATCACCTAATTATCCAGAATCCATAGGAACAAAACAGGCCTCCTCAAGTGAAGAGGACCACATAGCCTGGACATCTCTTACCTGCGTGGTAAGCCTTAGCATTCACACCCCTGCTGCTGAGCTCTGTGGCCACCTGTTCACAAGCCTCTCTAGTCCTGCAGTAGATAATGCCACAGCCGGACAACAACTGAATGGGGAGACAGGAAGAAAAGAGGTGTGGGAAGAAAACAATCAGCCTGCTAGGTGCAGCCTGCTTCAGAAGAAGCTCTGTGTTTTGTCTTGTCAACTTCAGTCTCCTGAGAAGGCAGGACACCCAACAGAGCTCTCCTGCTTCAGAAGAAGCAGAACCAAAGCAGCCTAAAGTCCAGCCTCTATAATTCCTCTGCCTACTCCCCAAAACCCTGTGTAGGTCAGCAAAGGCTTCACACAGAGGGACCATGTGCTTTTTTCCACAGATGGAGCCAAGACAAGGGAACCCCATTGAGGAGGACAATGCCGGGTAATGAAAGGGATAACTCTTTTTGTGCCCAAGTTTGTTTTGTGAAGCACTGAGAACTGAACCCAGGGGCACTCTACCACTCAGCTATATCTCCAACTCTTTTTTAAAATTTTATTTTGACCCAGGCATGCTGGTGCATGCCTATAATCCCAGTGACTAGGAAGGCTGAGGCAGAAGGATTGCAAGTTCAAAGCCAGCCTCATCAACTTAATAAGACCCCAGGAGACTTTGTGAGGGCTAAGGATGTAGTTCAGTGGTAAAGTACCCTTAGGTTCAATTCCTGGTAGCTTCTCTAGCAAAAAAAAAAAAAAATTATTTTGAAATAGGGTCTCACTAAGTTGCCCAAGCTGGCTTGGAATTTTCTATCTTTCTATCTTGGTCTCTCAAGTAGCTGTAATTCTAGGCACTGTACTCAGCTTATACACAAGTTTTAGGAAGTCTCACTAAGAAGCTAGGAAAAGCAAAGGTTTGAAAAACTATCCATCTCTCTGGTGCAGATAGCACCTTGGTCCCCAACTTTAGAGTCTCACCCCTTTATCAGCCTTCTGTCCAAGAGCCTTAAGGCAGAAATCCCTCAGGTTTCCATAGGGATCAGAAATCAGTTCCTTGAACTGCACATCATAAAAGAGGTTGGCCCGGAAACAGGGAGTCTTGAAAGTGGCAACTGGTTGCTTCAGATGCAGGGCAGCAAACACGTCCTCTTGAACTTGTGGGGTGGCTGTGGCAGTCAGAGCCACACATGGGGCATGTGCCAGGCGGGAGCGCAGAGCACCCAGACGCAGATAATCAGGACGAAAGTCGTGTCCCCACTGGGAAACACAATGAGCTTCATCCACCACCAAGTAGGAGAGAAGGTGGCGGGACACTAGGGAATTCAGGGTGGGCTGGAAGGAGGATGCAGCTGCCATCTCTGGGGTAATGTAGAGAAGCTTGGTCCGGGGTTTTTCTTGCTCCAAGTCAGAAAGCAGCTCCTTCCTCTCCTGCGCCGAAAGCTTTGAGTTCAGGGAACTCACTTGTACCTTCAGGGCCAGCAAATGGTCCACCTGGTCCTGAGGGCAAAAGGGGACAAGGCCAATGGCCCCTCAGAATTCAGTGGTCAATTTCATTGCAACTTCCCAGTCATAAAGCCTCCTCCCCTCCTTCCATATATCTGCTCTTTGCCCAGAAGTATGCAAGGTGAAGTGGTTGAGAGGATAGGCTCTCTGGAGTCACAAAGACCTGGATCTAATCCTGGCTCATTAAAGTGCTACCTGCTCTCAGGCTGTTTCTTAACCCCTGGGACTCAGTTCTAGTTCTCTCTCCCAAAATAGTAACCATCTAATAAGACTGTAGTAAGAAGTGAATGAAATTTTACATTTTAAAGGTAATGTGAATGCATATAAAGCACCTGGCACAAAGCCTGAGAATAGGGAACACTGGCAAAGTACAACTGGTGTTCCCAGTCTGTGTACCTTTCTTTTGGGTGGATGGCTCTTAACCACATGGCCTTACTTCCTCAATTCTAATTCCATCAGCCCATCTGCAGGCACTAAATACAGTCAGAACATCTGGTCAGTAAGGTCCCAATGAGTTTCTCATCTCTTTTTCGGTTTCACATACCTATACACTTGCCAAAATAAACCAGGACACCAGGGATTCCTCATATTAATTTAGCTACCTATACACCTGCACCTTTTATCCTAACATCACGAGCACATGTGTGTGGATGTGAGAGTGAGTTGGTGTATGGAACAGATAAAGTTTCATACACTTCTGCACCAAAAAAACCCAAAACAAAACAAAACAAAACCAAAAAGCAAAAACAAAAACCAAACCCAGAGGATGAGGGACCTCAGGCCATCAAAACAGTAAGACTCATTTGTGACCCACAAGAGTGACATACACTAATAGAGAACCTTACATTTGGGCAATTCAGAAACCCAACAAGAGAAATGTAGGAAAATCAGAGAAAATAAAAGGCAAAGACCAAATAAAGGAGGAGTAAAATTTCTAACTATAAACAACCATTCCTTCATTGTTTTGGGTTACCACCTTCATTCCCCAAATCTCACCTGAATCAAAGCAATAAGAGGAGAAATAACGATAGTGATGCCTTTAGCCAACAGTGCAGGGAGTTGATAGCAAAGGGATTTTCCTGCACCTGTGGGCATGCACACAAAGACATCCTTGTCACCTGCAAAAACACAAAAAGATAACATCTCAGTGCTTCATGTTTTCATCAAGGTTGTTGAAAAATTTAATGAGAATGTAGGAACAACATCTAGCAGTGTTTGGCACAGGGGAAGATCTGGATATGTTAACTCTCTTCTGTCCCTTCTATAAAAAGGACAAGGATACTAAAATATTTGGAAATGTCTGAAAACTATTTCTGGTAATGGTATTAAAAAAACAAAAGAGTATGAGTTGAGCATGGTAGCATCTGCCTGTAATCCCAGCAACTTGGGAGGCTGAGGCGGAGAATAATAAGTTTGAAGTAACTTAGTGAGACCCTATTTCAAAATAAAAAAATAAAAGAACTAAGGATGTAGCTTAGTGGTAGAGTGCCCTGGGTTCAATCCTCAGTACCACATATACGAATAATAATAAGGGCATAAATTTTGAGTCTGCTGGGACATAGATGACTGAAAAAGAAAAACAGTTGTAAAAGCAGAATATTGCTAGGTGACTGGGCACATCTGTGTAGACACACAAGGACATCACTTAGAGATATTTTGTTTATTAATATATCAGTAATATTACACTGCTGCAGAGCTGGGGTTGTTGCTCAGTGGTAGAGCTCTTGTCTAGCATGTGTGAGGCACTGGGTTCGATCTTTAGCACCACATATAAATAACTAAAATTAAAAGCTCATCAACAACTAAAAAAAATTTTTTTTAAATATTACACTGCTGCTCCCCTCTGGACAATTTCCAATGATCATATCTCCAGTTTGCAATCTTACTGCTCCTTCCTTTCTTATGGGGGACCCAAATACTTACTTTTCAACAAGGGGATTACATTGTGACTACCCAAACAAAAAATGGGAATCTAGGAATAATTTTTCAAAGACTATTTTTGGCTCCAGCTATATAATGTAAGAATCAGAACAGGTGAGTGATTCTGCCATTAAAATTGCAGCTTTAGATGATAAGTCTAAAGATCTCCAAAACTAGTTACAGGCCTAAGGTGAGGAAGTAGGAAGTGTTAGGAGGATGATGTTATGCTATGGTACAGCCAGTAGAAATTTAAAGGCAGGTAGTCTCATGTTACCTTTCACTACAGCCATGGTCGCATTCTCCTGTAAAGTTGTCTTAAAAGAGTCAAACCCAAAGACCTTCTTCAATGTGCTCCGGACTCGCAGTTCAGGGTCAAAGGAAGTGGAGGGAGGGTGGGTGTTCATCTTAGCGAAAATTAGTAGCCAAAAGTTAAAGCAAAAGTGGTGGAAGATTGCCTCGAGAACTCTGTTCTGCTTTTAAAACACTGATTGTTTTCTTCTGTAAGAATAAATCTGCTATATTACATTTAAGCAATGTTATTTTCAAGTAGCAAAGTTGCAGGTGAACTGTCTCAAGCAATACATTCCTGGGCAATTATCGTCTGCACTGTTAGACTCCATGAACATAAACACATTGAACTATCCCAGGCCAATTAGCCCAGAGCTACAATCAGATCACAAGAAACGCAAGTGTCTTTGGAAGAGTTTGGAGAACGTGGAATTATTTTTCTAAGATCCACCTACTGCTCCTTCTTCTGTAAGGGTAGCCTTGACAACTATTCTTCCCCCCCAGGACCGGCCCTTCCACTTTTCTTCCTCTGAGCCCCAGATCCACAGTTTTCTCCCTTCACCAGCTGAAGATTCCCTCTTTTCACCACCCCCAGGTATCAGACCCGGCCGTAGGGCCTCTAAGGGCCAAGGACTCTTGCCGGGCCGCTGCTGTCCGCTGGTTCCGCAAACGCACAAACACTTCTGCACACCTTTCCCAACTCTAAGATAAACCCCTGGGAATAGCCTGTCAGGTACAACCCCTACAACCTTACATCCGTCGCGCGATGATGACGTAAACAAGCGCAGACCTGAGGGATGGGCCAGGTTCAGAAACGGAAGTTTTGATTGGCTACCGTCGGTCGCGGCGTCTCCTGGGATCCGGAAGAAGTTGACTTTCCTCACGGAAGTCGTCGTCTTTGAGTCAGAGGCGTGAGCCACGCCCAAGCTGTGGGAATAAAATGGCGGGGAAGAAGAACGTTCTGTCGTCTCTGGCGGTTTACGCGGAGGATTCAGAACCCGAGTCTGATGGCGAAGCTGGAATCGAAGCTGTGGGCGGCGCGGCTGGTGAGGCCCGAGTGGGAAGCTGAAGGGGGAATCGAGCGTCTTTCAGAATGCTGCTCTTCTAGTGGGGTAGGAGGGGAAGAGATGTTCCTTGTGCCCCACGATTCGGACCCCGGAGCCCCGAAGCGCAGTCGGGGTCCTGAGTTAGGTTTAACATTAGATATTCTACAGTAAGAACTGTTTCCTTCCTTTGTTTCTACTCTTCTGCTAAAACTTAATAGAAATCTGTGCTGGGCAGTGGGATGGACGAAGGGAGAGAAGTATCCACGGCTGCAGCATCACTGCCAGTTCGCTCCGGTTCCTTGTTTGATGGGGGGAGGGATGATGAGTAAAACGTACTTGGAGAATGATGAAACGTGTGTCTTGATAAATTTATGACTTTTAAATTAGGAATGTGCTCTAAACATATCTTGGGGCTTTTTAGACGTATGTCTAAATTACACTCCAGGGAGTGTAATTCTGTAGCTACGCCATAAAATTTGGGTATTTGTGAGCTGTTTTTTTTTAAAAAAAAAAAAAAAAAAAAAAGCTTCTGGGTGATTCTGTTTCTTTGAGAGTTTTTAAAGCCCATCAGTAATTTTGTTGTTTTGTTCGAATTATGAATCCCTTGTTAGAATAAGAACAGATTTCTTTGGGGTAGTAGAAAGAGCAAGTTACCTAATGTATCTGGACCTTGGATTTTTCTCATCTGGAAAGTGAAGGGAATTGGTACGAAAATGAATAAGACAGTCTGTCTTATAAGAGAAGGCAAAGTCACAGGTTCCTATGATACAAGGTAGAGGCAAGCATGTCAAAAGAGATGTTCAAGCTCCATGCTATGATAATTCAGAAAAGGGAAGGCTTCAGTTAAACTAGTGTAGATGAACTGACAGCTTTTTTATTTTTATTTTTTATTTTTTTTTTCTGACAGCTTTTTAAAAAAGCCTTTTTTATAATTTTACTTGCTTATTATTATTGTTTTACATGGTACAGAGGATTGAACCCAGTGCCTCACATGTGCTATGCAAGTGCTCTACCAATGAGCACAAACCCAGCCCTGGACTGATAGCTTTAATTTTTTTTTTTTTTTTTTGGCTGTGCTGGGAATATAAGCCAGAGCCTCATGAATGCTAGGCAGGTGTTCTACTACACCCCCAGCCTGGATTGACAACATTAGAAACAGGATTTAGTGTGATATTCTTCCATGTTTGTGTCTGTGGTCACTTACATGAGAATTAATTTCCCCTTTTTTCTTCAGAGATAGTCTTGGCCATTCAAGTCACTAGAAAGTTTTCTTGCTTTTTTTTTTTTTTCTTTCTTCTCCATCTTTTACCACCTCTGTTTCAGAAGAGAAAGGTGGATTGGTGTCTGATGCCTATGGAGATGATGACTTTTCTCGCCCAGGGGGTGATGAAGATGGTTATGAAGAAGAGGAAGATGAGAACAGCAAACAGTCGGTAAGTAAATTTCTTGAATCCAGAGCTGCTCAAAGCACCTTTTTGTTTGTCAAGAAACTTCTGAATTGTGTCAATAATATTCCATTTTATGGCTGACTTCATTTCTTCCCCCCTTTTGTTTTGCATTGGTTGAAGAAACTAAGTTGAATATCAGTAGTTCTATTGAAAATGAAATCCATTTTTACCTGGACCATTTTGTATGAACCTTGGAATTGAAATTTGCAAGGAAAGATAGTGGACTATTTTATTTAACTCAGATATCAGTGGGTGTTTTGTATGAGTTTTCCCTCCTTAAATGATATAACGGTGTGTTCATCCTAATTGGTGTGTTATTTATATCTGAAATCAACTCTGTATTATTTGAAATCTCAATTGGGGCTCATTTAATTACTTCAGTTGGTTAACAAGATAAGGAAGGGAAATTTCATTTTCTTCCACTTATGTTAAGTAGGTACTGGATAACAAAGAAAGGAGAACTTGTTTTTATTAACAAGAAAGACATAGGATTCACAATCACCTGAGCAGCATGAACTAGAAAATTTTTTTGGTACTGAGGATTGAACCCAGGGCCACTTTACCACTGAGCCATATCCCCAGCCCTTTTTATTTTTTATTTTGAGGCAGGGTCTCACTTAGTTGCTTAGGGCTTTGCTGAGTTGCTCAGACTGGCCTCCAATTTACATTCCTCCTGAGTTGCTGGGATTACAGGTGTGCACCACCAAGCCTGGCTTATGAATCAGAATTTTTAAGTTTGGAGATGCTGGTGATGTAACTCAGAAATGGAGTCTTCCCTACCATGTGCAAGGCCTACATTCAATCCCCACCACCATAAAAATGAATGAATGAATGTTTGGAGGAAAAGCAAGGARGTTCATGCTAATGCTTAGCATAGATATGTACAAAATTGAATTTCTATATTGATTGAGTCTGGCTATTTTGCAACAGTTTGAATTGACACACTTATTTATTTAAACGTGTTATTACATGTTTATATGTTAATGTTAGCATTAAAATGCTTCCCAAATTAGGGCTGGTAGTGTAGCTCAGTGGTAGAGCACCTGCCTAGCAGGCCCTGGGTTCAGTTCCCAGCGTTATGGCTTTCCAAATTAATAGAAATATATTCTGTGCTCTTTTGTGAAGTATTTCATGCCTTTAGCCTCACCCATTAATAATTATAATTCAGAGTTGATTAGATTTTTTTTTAGAAAAACTTTATAAGATCTTTTCTTGACTTTTCTCAAGTATGTATATACTGCCTTAATCTTCATAACTGTTTTCTTTAATACATTTACATAATGTGTATTTTTWAAATGTTGTTCCATATGAATTTCCATCATATTTAAGCTTTGTTTAATATTTTAGTAAAATTTCACCAATCCCAAAATAGATGTTCTGAAATATGTGTTCAGCTGGCTCCATCACTGATTATTTGGCTGATTGATTTCATTTTAAGGAGATTATGGAGATTGCATCCAAAGGCTTTGACTCACTGGCACCTTACAGGGCAGTTAAGTCTCAAAATCATTACTATATTTGTTTACAACTCTTAGGTGGTATGTATAGTAACATCTAGAGTGCTGGGTCACATTTGGTTTAAAGTGTAGCTTTGTTGAAAATAACAGTGTCAAATCAGTTGAATTTCCTCAGCACTAAAAAATCTTTCATGTATTGGGAGTGCTGTAGGTAATGGAAGTGACATGGATTTAATTATCTAACAAAATAGCTATGTCTGATTTTTKACTTTCGTTATATTAGTATAAGTGTTCAGTGGAATTGTGGTCTTGCTCTGGACAATGTCTTATTCACATGGTGCTCATTTGGATAAGGAACAAGGTGGGCAGAATGGATCAGTGGCAGTCAGTAATGTAAGCACTTGGAGGCGGAACCCACTCAGCTGGGACCCAAGAAAGACTGTGCATTGCCCTTTAGTTCTGCCTTTCCTAGGTCACCTGCTCTAGTCATATGTCTACCTTCTGAGTTCATGTTAGTGTGAATTCTACTGGTTGAGGTACCAGGGTATAGATGTCTGAGTCACAGCTCTTTTTTTTATGTTGAACACTGTTGTGTTAGGTCTAAATCTGATATATTTGTGAATAYGAAAGGCAAGGGAGGGAAAAGGTCCATAATACTGGTTTTAAATCATTCATATTTCAATGGAAACACTATGCTTGTTTTATCCTGTAACCTAATTTTATTCTTTTCTGAAGCAAATTACAACTTCTTTCCACTCTTTATGTAATATTTTACCTTGAGCATTTTCATTGATGTGGACTGTGGCACCACTGGAGTAACTGTTGACTTTGAGCTGCTGTTGTTTTTGGATTCACCCCACCCCAGAACATCTCCTTTTCCCCTTCTCTTTCTCTAGCTGTGGGTCATTTGGTAGGGGAGGGGTTCTTGGTGGGATGACCCCTTCTGGGTAAATGAGCTTTTTGCTCCAACCTTAGTTATGCATGTGAGACTCTCAGGCCCACTCCTTTAAGCTTAATCCTCTAAATTCTTTGTCTTGTAGGAAGATGACGATTCAGAGACTGAAAAACCTGAGGCTGATGACCCAAAGGTATTTGGTGTTGGCTGTGGCGGGGTGGCTGGATACGAACAAGGCATTTTAACATCATGGCTCAGTTCATATGTCTGGTCACGAATCTGTCCCACTAATAATTAATTGTGTGACCTTGTGGCATTTATAAAGTGCCAGCTTTATAAAGAAAGATCTTTGAGGCAACCTAGGAATGAATAAGTCCTGAGGCAGAGTAGATTTCCAGGCTTGCAGATTGTGCCATACTCTGGACTAGAAAGCAAGAGGCCTGAGTCTCACAACTCACACTGTCTCCCAAGTGCTTTGTGGAAATCAGGAAGGCATGAGGGTTGCCATGTGTACTTGGGATTCTCTTAGGCTTCTAGAAGTGAAAAAGATCTCCAAGAGGCTCAGACCAATATGAGACCTCACCCCAACTGCTGGGGATGTTGATCCCAATCCTCATTTTCCTAGGGATGTACAATTTTCACTCTTGGGCAAGCTTTGTTTAATGGTCAGGAAGACATATTTATTTTCATGAAGCCATTTCTTCTCATAGGTCCATCCCAGTAGCAGCTGAGAGTAATTAGCAGTGATTCCTGTCAAGTTTCTTAGTGGTCCAGTAGTGATGAAGGTTAAGACCCCTTGTTCAGGTTAAACTGCTGTGTTATTCACTGGGCATTGGACATGTGTCTTTTGAGGAATCTTTATGGGACTTTTTTTTTTTTTAACCCCTAAAGAGAAAAACTAATTCCATTACTCTGGGCCTGGGGAATAGGGATCAAATTTTGCACTTAAAAACTGCTTTGAGGCCTGGGGATGTGGCTCAAGCGGTAATGCGCTTCCCTGGCATGCATGGGGCACTGGGTTTGATCCTCAGCTCCACATAAAAATAAAATGAAGATGTTGTGTCCACCGAAAACTGAAAAATAAATATTAAAAAATTCTCACTCCTTTTTTTCTCTTAAAAAAAAAACTCTTTGAAGCCAGTCCTACTGGTGCATACCTGTAATCCCAGCTATCTAGGAGGCTTAGGCTGGAGAATTACAAGATTGAAGTCAGCCTGGGCAATTCATTGAGACCCTGTCTCAAAATAAAAAATCAGAAGGGCTGAGGGTGAGGACTAATTATGTGGCTCAGCGGTAAAGTCCTTGAATAGTGTGTGCAAGGCCCTGGGTTCAATCCCCAGTACTACCAAAACAAAACAAAACAGATGAAAAATCAAAAAACAACATACTTTGAGCTGGGCATGGTAGCTCATGCCTGTGATCCCAGCAACTCGGAGGCTAAGGTGGAAGATCACAAGTTCAAAGCTAGCCTCAGCAACTTAGCAAGACTCTGTCTCAAAATAAAACATTGGGGATGTGGCTCAGTGGTTATGTAACCATGGGTTCCATCCTTGGTACCCCCAAAACAAAAAAACCCTACTTTGAAACCAGGTGAAGCCTTCAAGATGACTTAGTAGAATTTAGGAAAACTATCCAGTTACAATCTAAATAGTAGTCCTTCAGTGTCCATGGTGATTAGTTCCAGAACATCTCACCTCCACCCCATGTGAATATCAAAATCTGCGGATGCTCACAACCCTTATCTAAATTGTGTAGTGTTTGCATATAACCTGTGGATGTCCTCCTCCATGGATTTTCTAGGTTACTTAAAATATCTAGTACAGTGTAAATGCTGTGAAAATAAATGTTACACTGTATTATTTAGGGAAATATTTAGTACATAAGAGATTTTTTTTTAATTTTTTTTTTTTTGTAACTTGTAGATGAACACAGTTCCTTTGTTTTGTTTATTTTTATGTGGCGCTGAGGATGGAACCCAGTGCCTCACACATTCAAGGCAAGCGCTCTACCACTGAGCCACACCCCAGCCCACGTAAGCGATTCCCCCCCCCCCAAATATTCTGGATCCATGGTTGAATATCCAGATAATGAAACCCACAKGTATGGAGAACAACAGTATATCTGGAAATATAGTGTGAGCTGTTCCATACTTGGACTGATTCTGTGATTGGATACAACTCTTTGCAGCCATAGAAATAAATTTATGAAAGGCTATAGATGATTCACATAAAAAAACTTTTTTTTTTTTCTGGGGATTGAACCCAGGGGCACTGAGCCTGAGCCACATCTTCAGCCTTTTATTTTATGTTTTATTTTTGAGTCAGGGTCTTGCTAWCTTGTTTAGAGCTGAGCCTCTTGAGTTGCTGGGGTTACAGGAGTGCACCACCACTCCTGGCAAAAACACATTTTACCAAGAAAATAAGTTTTGCACTAGGAATGTGGCTTAGTGGTAGAGCATTTTCCTAGCATGCACAAGGCCCAGGGTTCACTCTCCTGCATTACAAAAAAGAAAAAGAAAAGTAAGTTTTGACATTAGCATGCAGGAGAAAGAAAATATGGACCCTAAAAATTAGGTGCAAAGTATTTTCTGCACAGAGTGAAGAACCCAGGCCTGGGTATTCCAGCAGGAAGGCATAAAATAGACCTGTGGCCTAGTTCAAAGATGGCCCCACACTGCTCAGCTTGCAGAAAGAAAACAGTCAGTAGTAGTAGTGTGAGTATTATTCTGTTGTTGGATTTGGGTGTAAGGGTCATTGAGCCCGKGTGTACAACAATCTGGTGGAGTCATCAGGTATTGGGCTTGAATTGTGGAGGGGAAAGAGGATTTACCAGACTGGAGCTTTATGTGTGCAGTTGCAGCCTGTGCTCAAAGCTGGAAGGCCATCTGAGAAAGTTGACTTAAGAATGGGGTACATGCACTTGAGCATCACCCCTTGTAGAGTCTGTGGTTCCTGAGGTAAATCCTCGGGGAAGAACGTATCTTTATCAGAGAAGGCAGATCATGAAAAATAAAATAAGCTTTCCCGCTGTCTAGGAGCAGTTAATAAAGAAATGGGGGTGGGGGTGAACTCCATAAAAAGGCACACTCAGGGAGATTGTAAATGTGTCTTTTATGCTCAGCCTTCTCTTTCTCAGTTCCACATTGGGATTAGAAAGTCCTATCATTTCTACTTGGCCCTTGACTGATATGCTTTACTGTACCTCATTCAGTCACTTGAATTTCAAGTCTTCCTATGAAAATAAAAGTTTTTGTGGAATAATTTCTATTTCTGTTGGGCAGACCTCAGGAATCAGAACACCAAATCCAGTCCTAAGGTAACTTGACTTAGTTATTTTAGAGAGTAATGGTGGAGAGTTTATATAGAGCTGCCAGATTAGATGTCCTCCAGTCACCAGTATCCTAATGCATCCTAATGACTAGAAACAATCCCTGCCCAGCATGAGCCTGCCATCAAATCTGGCCTGGATGCAYCAGACTATCTTCCAGGTAGCAGCCTCAAACCCAGAGTTTTTCTGGCACATTCAAGTTTTATTTTAATTGATATTTAAAGTTTTTTATTCTAAAACCTTAATTTGAATATTTTTGCTTTAAGTATATAAAGTTTCTAACAATATAACTTGTTACAGAAATTGGAAGTATCTTTTATTTGGTTAATAAGCAAGTTGCTGTCATAAMTGTCTATTCCACTAGATGGCGTTCTCTGTTCTGCTTTGGCTTTTCAAGATCCACTTTTTATTTTTTTATAGCAGTCCTCAAAACATTTTGGTTATTACACAATTAAAAATTGAGGATCCTGGGCTGGGGCTGTAGCCCAGTGGCAGAGCGCTTGCCTAGCATGCACGAGGCCCTGGATTGGATCCTCAGCACCACATAAAAATTTAAAAAACAAAACAAAAATAAAGGCATTCTGTCCATCTACAACTATAAATTTTTTTTTTTTTATTGAGGATCTTGTAATTGGGGTATAGTTCAGTGGTAAGGTGCTATGTTTAGCATGCATGAGGTCTTGGGTTTGATCCCAGTACCCGGGGAAAAGAAACTTAGGATCCCAAAAAAACTTGTGTTTATTTAAATTTTATCTATTGGTATTTATTATAAACTGGGAGCCAGCCTGAAATCCCAGCTACTCAGGAAATTAAAGCAGGAGAATTGTAAGTTCAAGGCCAACCTCAGCAACTTAGGAGACCCTGTCTCAAAATAAAAAGGGATGAGAATGTAGCTCAGTGGTAGAGTAACCTTAGCTTCAGTCCTCAGTCCTGGAGGGAAAAAAAACGATTAAAAGTGAGAAAAGTTGAAATTATATGTAATTTAAAATAACAAAATTCAGCTCATTACAAATTAACACAAATAACACTTTTGTGAAAATCAGTATTTCTGAAACAAAGTATGTTAATAGAAGATAGCTGGATTCTCATAACTGCTTTTGAATTTAGTCTGTTGTTGTGTGTTCAAAGTATTTGAAGAGAATCTGGCTTTACATAATAGGTAGTTGAAAAGAGAAGTATTTTAATATCCTTAAGATAATTATGGATATTATTCTTTGATACTTTATCAAAACTCAGTCTGTGATTTCTTTGCCACCGAACTACATACCCAATTTTTTTTTCTWTCTTTTGAGAGTCTTTCTTGCTGAAGCTGACCTTGAACTTGCAAACCTATTTCTGAGTTTCTGGGATTATAGGTGTGTGCCCAGCTTCAGATTTGTCTTACACTTTCGATGGGTCTTTTACCCTTGCATGATTTTATATTATCAATCACTGGTGATTTATAAAGATGTTGGTTTACTGTGTACACAGATCTCATGTTGACACATTTTGTTCTATAATATTAAAAAAAAATCACATTTGTTAGTAACATCATTGATCTTATCAGACAAGCTGTTAAGTAACAGAAATCTATCAAATATACAATGGGGAATATGTTTTCCAAGATTCTAACATTTTTTCCTTGAAAGCTTAAGTTGCATTGTACTATCAGAGTTTTCCTGGAAGTGACATGCTTCATTTTTTTCAGAAAATGCCTGGCAGATACCTAAGATCGAATAACCAATTTGTCTGTGGTCATTCTTTAAAGTAGAAATGGTGTTCTCTGAGGAAAATGACTAGCTCAGCTTGGAACTCAGGCATTCACCATATGTGCTTTCTGTTGAGCAGCCATCGTACTTTGGCATGCAACAGAAAGGTTCATGCATT